AATAGTCTCACATGGCATGGTTGTGACCATAGAAAATATTGACCTCTTTGTAACAGAGATACAAGAAGATGTGAGAAACAGTGGACTAATATTTCCCATATTCGCTCCTGAGATAAAAAAAGACGGATTTACAGGGGGAGATAAAAAAACTGCAACAAAGTCAAACGCCATAATTTTTACATTTTTTTTTTAATTTAATTGAATGAAATCAACAAATGTCGGAAATAGCATCAAATTTTAGAATAAGTTTAGATTTGTTCGAATTGGTCACCTTTGGCACGAATTATGGCCTTTAAACGGCCAATGAAACTGTCACGCGCTGCCCGAATGTTGCTCTGCGGTATTTTGGCCCATTCCCGGCGTAACGCTTGCTGATGGTGATCGACACTTTGGTTTTTTTATGGTGCCAACCTTCGTTTCCCAAATTTTCCAGACGCAATAGTCCAACGGTTTGGTATCCGGAGATTTTGGTGGCCATTGTGCGCTGGAAATGAAGCGAGGTAGCTCATTTTGTAAGCATTCTTGAGTGGCCCGTGCTGAGTATTGTTGATATGTCAACGGTCCGCGGCGAAAGTGTTTGCGTGCCCAAGGCTTTAATACACCCTCCAGAATATTTTCGCGATAATATTCGGCATTTATTCTGATGCCACGGTCGATTAATACGAGCGGAGAGCGACCATCGGCTGTTAGGACGGCCCACACAATCACCATGGCCGGCGCTTGAGTTCTGGTGGCCAACCGAAGGTGCACATTTTCAGCTGACCTCTTTGGCAAGTAAACACGATCATTTTGTTTGTTTACAAACTGCTGGACAACGAATGTTTTCTCATCGGGGAAAACTAAATTCGCCAGTTCTCCTCTTTAGGCCAAGCGAAGCAATTCTTTAGCTCTTTTGATTCTATTTTCCGCAACAGATGCGGTGTAAGTTCTTGCACTTTTTGGAATTTCAATGGCGTTGCCCCGAGCTCATTTTTCAATATTTGCCGAATGGAAGATTGCGATATGTTCAGCTCACGAGCTGTTTTTCTGGTTTCTAGCAAGTTGCTTCTTTACTTTTCCAACCATTTCTGCTAATGTTGCTGGTTTCTTCCGTCCACTTTCTTGACGTCGGGCTACGCTACCAGTATCACAGTAAAGAGCGATGGTACGAGACACAAAGCCACGATACGATAGCCACTTGTAGTCATATAGCCAAAAATCACACTATCACGCTTGAATTCCATCAAGAATAACTTTTTTTCTGGAAAATTCTCACCAAAATGCTTTTGTACGCTTATAAACAATATAATGAGCTGTCACTGGAATAATTTTAACAACTGTCGGACGAGTCGCTTAGAAATGACAGCAGTCGGAAGTTGTTTGCAGTTCTTTTATTTCACCCTGAATATATAAAAGAGTAGTGAAATAACTGACTGACTGAGAATCAAAGACCAGGCGAAACGTCTGAAGCTACAATCTTGAAATTTTGCAAGATTTTGAAGTCTTGGTGCTTATGCATGTGATAGCCTTGGAACATTTTATTAAAAGGGTACGAAAAGTACTACCAATTTAATACTTCGTATTGGGCAAATGGAATGAGCTTGAATTCTGAAATTGGGAATGAGAGTCTCTGATGTGGTGAAGGATAGATGTACCAAAGGATGGAAATTCGAACTTAAAGGTTACGAAAAGTTCTAAAATGGTACCAAACATCTAAAACAGTACCATTTGGTGTTACGTGAACGCATAGAGGTAAAAACTCGAAATTTCGAAATCTCACATTTGGTTTTGGAATTGTGAACTATAAGTGCACGAAAAGCACTAAATGGTAGTAAAAATGTTATTGGCTGATGGAATAGGGCAGGAATATTCAAATTTGATTTGAGGTCTCTGTTGGTCTCTGTGGTTAGGATATGGAGGTGGTGTTTATATGTACGAAAAGTACAAAATTTGTACCAAATTTGATATTGGGTTAAGGGATAGGGCAGGAATTGATTTCTCTCTTGGTATGGAGGTGGTTTTAGGAATTTGTCCTATAGGTATAGTACTAAATGGTATTAAATTTGGTGTTGGTTGATGTTTATAGTTAAGATATAGAAGTGGTTTTGGAAATGTAAAATATAATTGTACGAAACGTACTAAATAGTACCAAACTTGGTATTGGGTGAGGGAATATAACTATTTGTACAAAAATTTGATATTGAGCTGCAATTTTATATTGAGGTCTCTGTTGGCATCTGGTGGTGGTTTTATAAGTGCATGCTATAATTGTCCGAAAAATACTAAATGGAACAAATTTTGGATCACTGTTGGTTATTTGTACTAAAGGAATATAGTTTAAATTCTGAAATTTAATATTTTGATTTTTGTAGAGATATGGAGGTGGAAATATGACCTATATAAGAAAATTAGTAACCAAATTTGGGCGAAGGAATAGAACTGTAGAACTGGAATTCTAAAATTTGATATTGAGGCCTTGAGATCTGGTGGAGGTTTTATAAATGCATAAATTGTTCGAAAAGTACTGAATGGTAAAACTTTGGATCACAATTTGTGTCAAGAATGGAGAAATGGATTTTTTTTGGATATGAGTACCAAAGGAATTCTAAAATTTTACATTTATCTGAGGTTAGATTTGGATGTGGGAAAATTGGAAAGTTCTTCGAAAAATACCAAATTGTATTGAATTTGCCGTTGAGTGAATGGATAGAGCTTGAGGTCCCTGTTAGTATCTGGATTTGAGCTATGGTGGTGGTCTTGGAAATGTATTCTATATTAATACGAAAAGTACTAAATTTGGTATAGGGTGAGGCGATATAGCTGAAATCTTGAAATTTGATATGGATGTCACTTTTGCGGTCTAGGGTGGATATGCATACTATATGTTACTAAATTTAGTATTGGGTGAAATTATATAGCGTAAATTCTGAAATTTGATATGGAGGTCGCTGTTGGCTTCTAGGGTTTACATTCGAAGATGATGAAATAGTTTTGGATCGAAAAATTGGATGTGAGTCTATTGTGCAATGGTTTTACTAAAATCTTCCTCGGTAAACTTCAAAATGAAAGATTTTGAAGATTTTTTCGTGTAAAAGGTAAACTTGAATAATATCTAAAGCCTTAAAAGTCTGAAAATTGGTTGAAGTTTGGATTAAAAAAAAGGTTGTCAATCTACAAATATTGTACACATTGGGTACTAAAGAGGCCTGACATGAACAGTTGGACGAGTTCATGGGTTACTGATAGCCCCTCTTTAAAAGTTAAGTTTTTGAAATACTGCAATTTCGAAGTCGGCTCTGAAACAAAATTCCTATCTTTCTATGAAACCCCCCTTGGGTTTTTACCTTCCACAATTGAAAAACAACAATTATTAAAATTGTTGTAAAAAAGAAGACTCATTAAGAAGAAGAAGTACAATCGCATAATGAATATTTTTGTAGAACATTTCGTCCTAAAAAATTCAAATTTTTGAATGCTCTTCACCCCTTTTTTGCCCGAAAAAAAAGAAAGGCAATAAAATATATTTCGGCACCCAAATATTTAACAAAAAAAATCGCTCTGAAAATTCAGTATTTGGTCCTCAAAGACAACTCATTCTGAAATAACCTTTCTTCAGTTAAATGCCCTTTTCGTCCTTCTTTTGAACCCTTACAAAAAAAGCCGCCAAATAAGATTAATTGCAGAGCAAATATTTCACAAAAGTATCACCTTTAAAATTCTAAATAGGGTCTCCAAGCGTCCATTGTCCTTCTTGATTTTTTCAAGATCCTGGATCACAAATCTGTATGAATTTGTACTTTATAATTTAAGACAACTCAAGCGGAGAAAACGTTTCTTTAATGAAATGTCCTTTTTTGTCCTTCTTTTGAACCCTTGCAAAAAACCCGCCAAATAAGATTAATTTCCGCTCAAATATTCCACAAAAATATCACCTTTAAGATTCTAAATAGGGTCCCCAAAGACAAGAGGTCGATAATGTAAACTTTTCATTGTCCTTCTTGATTTTTTTTAAGATCCTTGTCCACAAATCTGAATTTGTATTTTTTTTTTAATAATTCGTATAATTTTTTCGATATGCAGAAAACACGTAATCCGATGACCATAACCATTAGTAGACATCGTCATGCCCAACAGAATATTTTAATTATTTTTTCTTGGCGATGACATCCGGTAATCTGAATTTTTATCAATTTAATCCTTTGAGAAGTAACTTCCTTTTCTTGTCTTTCAACAACATCAACTTTTCGAATTTTTCCATTTCACACATAAAACCAACATTAAAAAACAATCTCCACCAAATCGTGTATTCAAAAGTCGGATCATCATCGGACTTTTATCGATTGTTTACCGCAATTATCATTAAAAGCTGTCAATAAGATAAATGCTGATGAACCCTTAATTATATTTAAACAGTTGTCCACTTCTGACAGCCTGGGTGACACATTGACACAATCAAGAAAATTTAATTCAACATTTATTTTTTAATGTCTTAAAAGGGCAGCTGTGTGTGTGAGGATGCTTACTTGGATGTGTTAAGCAAAAGGTAGAAAAACGTACGCACACAATGATTATAAAATTAATCACCTATCCACCCTCAGCTGCTACATCCCGCATTAACATGCATATTTACATAATGTAATTGGCTGTTCTCAGACATTGTAGCCGGGCGAAAAAGGACACTTTACAATATTCAAAGGATAAGCTTGATGATGATGATGAGGATGCTCTACATGTAGACATAACCTCATTTAACAACACTTTTGTCACCACCAACAACATCGTCATCATCATCACCGTTATCCTGCTCACTACTTAGGCTTACAATTTCAGTGCTTCAGCTCAGACTCCATTACACGCAGATTATCACCTTTTGTGTGTGTGTGCGTGTGAGTGCCCAAGAATACATTTTAACCCAGAAGCAGTAACAGCACCAACAGCAGCAGCAGTAATTCATTGGCTTTTTGTGTTTTTGTTTTTCTTTCATTTCATGACTGTCTGCCACCTCCGAACTGTTCGAACAGGTGGCCTGGATGCATTTCGAACAATCGGCCATCTTAACCGTGCACAATCATGTGATAACGCGCAATCCACGCATCAGTGTGACACACGACAAACATGATCGCCATCGCAGCTGGTATTTGCACATCAACAATGTCCAGGAGGAGGACAAAGGACGCTACATGTGCCAGATCAACACGGTGACGGCCAAAACGCAGTTTGGTTATCTCAATGTAGTCGGTAAGTGTGGACAATAATAACTTAAGCAAATGGTCAAGGGAGGGCAGTTTTTCGTTACAAAAAAAGAAAATTCCATTAAATGCCAGCCCTTTTCCCAAAACTCCGATTGGGAATTCGTGGTAAAAAATAATCATAAATAAATTAAAAATAAATTATGCCAGGCAATTCCAATTCCATATCCACCCACCCCACTTTAGCCTTGTCCTTGATAGCTGCATGCATGGCATCCCTTGCAGCCAATCTAACATTAAGTCGCAGAATTTATGCCTCAATGATTTCCCAGTTATTTTACTTTTGATCCAGAGTCAAGTGAGTTTTCGCATGGCCTCTAAGTCTCCAAACAGCAGCTGTTGCCACTGCTTTGGGGAAAGCAAATATCTCAGTTCAATTGAACTGAGAAAGTCGAAAAAAAAAGGAAAATCACTGTTTGCATTCCTCTGCTTGTTTATATCCTTGAGGCTTCTACGAAATGCGTTAGGAAAAACCCCGTGTATTTTTTTAAACACAAAAATAGGAGGAATAATGTCACTTGAGAGTTGCGCAGAAAAAAAACTCACATAAATATTCAATTTAATTATTTTTTTCTGCTTCTTCTTCTTTTTCTCATAATAAATCAAGACTGGGTTATATTTTGTTTATTTTTCGCATGCAATTATTATTGTGATTTGTGTGGGTGTTTGGCTGTGGTTTCTCTGGAGTAATAATAATAATAAGCATTGGGAAAATAATATTTGTAAATAAAATTAGATCCCACCATAAATAATTAATCTCTGCAAGGAATTGGAGCTTAAGTGTGAGGAGAAGAAAATGTCTTAGGATATAATAACTCGAAAGAGTGAGAGAGAGTTCAAAAGAACAAATTTATGGTCATTTTTGCCAGAGCCTCCACAAGAAATATGAATACTTCAGGGAAATGGAAGCCGTGGAAGGAGAAGTGCTTATACCCCTCTTAGATAAACTCGACGTAATGGCTTCAGATCATTTGGCATGGGCACATTGTAGGGTATATTTTATTATTTTTACCGAATTTTTACATCGAGTTCGTAGATTGGCAACAGGGCCACTCCCTCTAGTACCTCCCCACAAAAGTCCAAAAGTTGACTAACAATAAAAAATTAAAAATCTCATAACAAGCGAGAGGAGCACATGACAAAAATCAAACTTGCCCACCGTAAAATTCAGATAAGCCTTATGTCTGGTGAAAAAAATTTACAATATTGACCCAACCTCACAAAAGGTCGACATTTTGATGTGGGTAATCAATTTACGATTTTCTCTATTTTTCCTTGAAAATCTGAAAATCTGAAAATTGATTATATTATTTTTTCTCATACCTCTCTCTGAAAAAAGCTGGAAAATTTTGAAAAACATTCCTAAGCATATTTCATAAAAAAACGAATCAAGTACCCGATTTAGTTTAAAAGTGGTGCGTGATAATATTTATATCACACTTAGGTCTGTAACGATCATGAAAAATATTAACCCACTGCTTGTCGTACTTCCCTCCTAAAAGTTAACATTTTTTAATACGAATAATTCACATTTAATTTGAAATTATTTTCTTTTGCCCGAATAAGGCACCATTCCATCTCGTATCTCTCCCACAATGGACCAACATTTTATGCTCCAAAGAGGTTATCTCTTTCTTCTTGAGTCTCAAAATGCCTAAACTTGGTGAAATTAATTTAAACAAAAAAAAAAATCAGTATGTTCGGCCCGGTCGAACTTTTAATACTCTCCACAATTCAGAAGGACTTTACAAATGCTCAAAGAAAGTCCGTTTAAAAATACTGTTAAAATCATAAAAATACCCAATATAGGGATTTGCCGTCATACGGGGTCTATACGATAACATGGACCTGCATAGGCAATTTTCTGTCTTAGGCTTCCGTACAAATTAGGAACTTCATATACGAAATTTAAAATAATGTCGATAAATAATGTGGCTAAAATCATAAAAATTCCGAATATAGGGAAATACGAAATTTGAAACAATTCCAAAGGATAATGTCGGTGAAGTCATCAAAATACCGAATATATGGAGGGACTCTTATATAGGGCCTATACCAAAACTTAGGCCTATATTGCCAGTTCTATGCAAGAATGTTTCTAACATAATGAGAACTCAATTTACAGCAAATTCGTGTTAAAATTATGACTAAAACACCTCAAAAACTTTAAATCTGTCGGTATAGTTATATGGGACCCATGCCAAAAAGTAGACCTACAGGGTGAGATCAAAAAACTGCAACAAAGTCAAACGGTATAATTTTTACATATTTTTTTTTAATTTTATTGAATGAAAGCAAAAAATGTCGGAAATGGCATCACATTTTAGAATAAGTTTAGATTTGTTCGAATTGGTCACCTTTGACACAAATTATGGCCTTCAAACGGCCAATGAAACCGTCACACGCTGTCCAAATGTTGCTCTGCGGTATTTTGGCCCATTCCCGGCGAAGCGCTTGTTTGAGGCGATCGACACTTTTTTAGTGCCAACCTGGCTTTCCAAAATACCCCAGACACAATAGTCTAACATATTGGAACATTTGGTGGCCATTGTGCGCTGGAAATGAAGCGAGGAACCTCATTATGTAACCATTCTTGGGTGGCGCGTGCTGAGTGCGATGGTGCTGAGTTCTGTTGGAATGTCCAAGGTCTGCGGCCAACATGTTTGCGTGTCCAAGGCTTTAATACACCCTCCAGAATATTTTTGCGATAATATTTGGCATTTATTCTGATTCCATGGTCGATTAATATGAGCGGAGAGAGACCATCGGCTGTTATGATTTGAGTTTTGGTGGCCAACCGAAGGTGCACATTTTAAGCTGACTTCTTTGGCAAGTAAACACATTCATTTTGTTTCTTTACAAACTGCTGGGCAACGAATGTTTTCTCATCGGAGAAAACCGAATTCGGCAGTTCACCACTTTCGGCCAAGCGAAGAAAACTCTTTAGATCTTTTGCGTCTATTTTATTTCTGTTGCGGTGTAAGTTCTTGCACTTTTTGCAATTTCAATGGCTTTACCCCGAGCTCATTTTTCAATATTTGCCGAATGGAATATTGCGATATGTTCAGCTCACGACACTATTTTCCCACCAAAATGCTTTTGTAAAAAATTTGAACTCTTTGAGGAAAAATCCTAACAAATATTGACGTAAAACATTCTAAAAGTCAAAAAAATCCATGTATGTAGACAAAGTTATAGGCCTTACATTACTGAAGAGATACATTTATTCAGACCTGATATTCATTGTAGGAAACACTATTAATAGACCTAGGATCATTAAATTGATGTAGTTGCCTTGAATGATTCACCCTAACCCTAATAATATTTAAGGAATCAACGTTTATAGTACTGGAAGTACTCAAAAGATCCACGAATGTAACCATATTACCTCACCTCTAGAGAACCTCCAAAGGTCTATCCATGATATTTTTTAATTATTGGCCTGCAGGCCTGAAACTATTCATTTTTAGGCCTGATTATCCATAAAGGATCAACAATTTTCGTGCTGATACTAATTGATTGTTAAAGCCCTGATAGACCAAGGATCATAAATCTGAGTTAGCTGCATTGAGGGATTCACCCTAACTCTGATAGTCCTCAAGCGATGACCATTATAGTCCTGGAAAATTGACGAATGTAACTTTCTTGCCTTACCACTAGATATCCTCTAACGGTCTATTCATGATAGTTCTTAGAGGACCCAAAATGATCGGCCCGGCAGTCCATGTTTGCAGTTATGATTGTCTATAAAGCATTCACAATCATCGCCCTGATAGTCGTTAAGGGATCCATATTTGTAGACCGAATTTTCTATAAAGGATCCGCAATTAACGTCCTGACAGTCCTTAATGGACATTTTTTAAGTTCTGATGGTGATTTTGAAAATTAAATGATCCTCGTTCTAATAGTCTTAAAAGGACTCAGAATAAAGACCATGTAAGCGGAGATAACCCCTAAAGGTCCATAATATTAGCTTTTATAGTCCCTAAAAATCCTTGAAGAATCTTTAATATAGAATTCTGATAATACTGACTTGGTCCACATTTATAGCCTTGATATTCCTGAAAAAATTCAATTCTCAAAAAAATCAAAAGCCAATAATAAATGTTAATCTTTTGCCACTTCTGAGAGACTTTGGGAAATATTGGTTCCAGATCTAGGAAGACCATTTACGTGCAACATCTACCAATAAATTTGAAATGAGCAAATTAGTTTAAGTTGCTATTATTCGAAAATTAGAGAACGAAACCTGATGGTTTTTTTTTATTATTTGTCACAATATCTTGTGCAATTCTTTCGAGTATCTCGCCTATATGAACTGTATCGTTTATTATAGTGTTGTAGGGTATTCAACGGTCGGCCCCGCTCGACTGTAGCCTCTGCTTACTTGTTTTCTTCTAAAAACCATCCTATAACAATAAACCCAATATTCCCCCCAAAACAATTTTAAATTCCACCAGGTCTTATTCAAACCACAAAACTAACCGCTTTGATAAGACCAATTATGATTTGTGGAGACCAACTAAAAGTTCAGCAAAAAACAAGTGATTTGCATTTTTTTCTTCTTTAATAACCAAACGAAAGACAAATTGTTTATGAAAAAAGTTTAAAAACAAAGGCACCATGCCGCTTCGTTTCCACATCTTCCCCTCTCCCCGCAATTCATCACCTTATGGCAACCATGAAGAAAATGAAAGCGAAATTAAAAACTGCGTTGATTTAATTTTAAAAGTGTCATCATGAAATAACTTTTAGATGGACACCGAACAGAAGACCTAAGACGGCTCCATCAAACACACACACATATACACACATCTATAACTATACAAAAGATTTTGTAGCAAATATATTAAGCAGCATAAAGAAGAAGAAAGAGCTCTTTCCTCAATTTCATTATTTTTCCTCGCCATGCCTCGCATAGCCGTCTAAGGCTCGGCGAAAAAATTATGATGAGAAAGAAATATTGCAGCGGCAGCATCGAACCACTTTAGAGGCTTTGGGAATTAACGGTGAATGTCACAGTTTTTGACTTTTCTCCCCATTGAACAGACATGAATATCAACAGCAACGGCAACGACTCGAAGCATGCTTTTCCAAAAACACCAACAACACCGCAGAAAGTTCTGCTTCGTTGCGGACGTAAGCCTTAGAAAAGCGTGTCTGTGTCGCCGAGTGCCAGCCTTATTAAAAACAAACAAATAGAGCCATAATAACACAACATTATGGCTTAAAGAGTGTACCGAATAGAACTTGAAGTAGTAGTCATAGCAGTAGTGGCAAAAGAAGAAGGAGAAGATGAGACGAAGAAGTAGATGAAAAAATCCTAAGACATAAACCTCATCAGTAGTCAGTCCCCAGTCATCAACGGTCAGGACACAACATCATCTTCATCAAAACTCATCATCATTATGATACTCATCAGCGACAGTTGGAAAGTCATCAGTGGGAGGGAGTTGGGCGGAAGACAGTGGAAGATATTGTGGATAATGGGTTTCATCGCTGGTCTATAGTCTATAACTGGCCTGCAGACGACCCATCCTATAGGTCGTCTATAGCTGGCCTGTAGACGACCCGTCCTTTAGGTCGTCTATAGCTGGCCTGTAGTCAACCCGTCCTCCAGGTCGTCTATAGACACACCCTCCAGTTCGATTGAAGCTCGTCCAGTCCGATTAAAGCTTCAGTTTGATTTAATTTGGCCTATAGACGACCCCTCTTTTAGGTCGTCTATAGACACGCCCTCCAGTTCGACTTAAGCTCTTCTATGGACGCGCCCGAATAAAGAATCAGCCTGTCTATGGAAGCTCCCTGGCCTTCAGCTCGTCTATGGAAGCTCCCTGGCCTTCAGCTCGTCTATGGAAGCTCCCTGGCCTTCAGCCTGTCTATGGAAGCTCCCTGGCCTTCAGCTCTTCTATGGAAGCTCCCTGGCCTTCAGCTCTTCTATGGAAGCTCCCTGGACTTCAGCTCGTCTATGGAGACTCACTGCCCTCCAGCTCGTCTATGGAGACTCACTGCCCTCCAGCTCGTCTATGGAGACTCACTGCCCTCCAGCTCGTCTATGGAGACTCACTGCCCTCCAGCTCGTCTATGGAGACTCACTGCCCTCCAGCTCGTCTATGGAGACTCACTGCCCTCCAGCTCGTCTATGGAGACTCACTGCCCTCCAGCTCGTCTATGGAGACTCACTGCCCTCCAGCTCGTCTATGGAGACTCACTGCCCTCCAGCTCGTCTATGCAGGACTCACTGCCCTCCAGCTCGTCTATGCAGACTCCCTGCCCTCCAGCTCGTCTATGCAGACTCCCTGCCCTCCAGCTCGTCTATGCAGACTCCCTGCCCTCCAGCTCGTCTATGCAGACTCCCTGCCCTCCAGCTGTCTATGCAGACTCCCTGCCCTCCAGCTCGTCTATGGAGACTCCCTGGCCTCCAGCTCGACTATGGAGACTCCCTGGCCTCCAGCTCGTCTATGGAGACTCGATGGCCTCCAGCTCGTCTATGGAGACTCGATGGCCTCCAGCTCGTCTATGGAGACTCCCTGGCCTCCAGCTCGTCTATGGAGACTCCCTGGCCTCCAGCTCGTCTATGGAGACTCGATGACCTCCAGCTCGTCAATGGAGACCCACTGGCCTCCAGCTCGTCAATGGAGACCCACTGGACTCCAGCTCGTCAATGGAGACTCCCTACCTGGCATCCAGCTCGTCAATAGAGACTCACTGGCCTCCAACTGGTCAATGAAGACTCTCTGGCCTTCAGCTAGTCTATGGAGACTCCCTGGCCTCCAGCTCGTCTATGGAAGCTCCTTGGCCTCCAGCTCGTCTATGGAGACTCCCTGGCCTCCAGCTCGTCTATGGAGACTCCCTGGCCTCCAGCTCGTCTATGTAGACTCCCTGGCCTCCAGCTCGTCTATGGAGACTCCCTGGCCTCCAGCTCGTCTATGGAGTCTCCCTCCAGCTCTTCTACAGAGTCTCCCTCCAGCACCTCTACAGAGTCTCCCTCCAGCTCATACATAGAGTCTCCATACAGCTGCTCTACCAAGTCTCCATCCAGCTCAATAGAGTCTACCTCTAGCTCATATATATGGAGACTCCCTCTAGGTCCTCTATAGAGACCCCCTCCAGCCCCTCCATAGAGATTCCCTCCAGCTTCTCAATAGAGATTTTCTCCAGCTCCTCTATAGAGGTTACCTGTGCAGACTCCCTCCGTCTCCTCTAGAAAGAAAAGAAAAAATATTTATTTTATTTCATTTTCCCTCTCCCACTGTTCCTTAAACCAAAGTAAACAAATGAATCCCATGCCATCTTCCTCGTTTTCCCGGAAACCTTTTAGAATGACAGCTTCTCACCGGGTATGTCCATCCAGCTAACCTAACGGTAACTTTACTTGATGCCAATGTTATTTATTTAGATTGTTAGCTGTTGAAAAAAAAAGAACTCAACATTCATCCACAGACTCGACAGAGGAGTACATCATCTTATGGCGGGAATAAGTGGCAGCATAACAAGTCAAAAACTCATTTAGCCTCTTGGCCAAATAAATAAACAAGTGTTTCCGAACAAACGACTTTTGCAACAAACTGTTCTACACCACCGCAACATTGCAATTTGAGTTGAGTTGATGATGATGCTGATGGAAGAAAATAAAGCTTAAGGTTCGCCTGGCTACTGTCCCTCAATTATTTGGTATCATGGCACAATTACCGCCCCTTCCCGCCAGCCACACGCCATTGAAGCACTTTAGTGCCGAAACCCCCGACTTTGAGGTAACAACCAGTGTCCCAAGTTTATTTTAAAACTACTTTATTACCTACTTACCAACACTCCGCAGAGAGTGATTGCCAAGTCGAGGAGGCACTCATCTCAAGAGTCAAACACATACATTCATACATTCATAGATATATTATTCTATTAAAGCAACAGACTTCAGACCACAAGAGTCTAGGAGGTTAAAGCCAAAGCAAGTACCATTGTATGACACTCATTGACCTGGGATTTTCCTGTATTATCCCCGAGAAGAGTTTATCTTTACTAAGTGGGCTAATGATATTTTTGTTTCCTCTTTTGGACAAATTAAGGCTGATGACACCCTTCCTCGGTTTGTGTTTCCATAAGAGTTTATTGCATTTCCTTTCTACATAATTTGTCTCTTTTTTCTTTCTAGTGCCGCCCAACATTGATGACTCGTTGAGTTCAAGCGACGTCATTGTACGGGAAAACTCCAACATATCACTGCGATGTAAAGCGACCGGTAGTCCCAAACCGGTCATCAAATGGAAGAGAGATGACAATTCAAGGATAACAATTAGTAAAAATCACATAGGTAAGTACAGGAGAACGGAGGAGCAGAAGGAAAAGTATGTGGTGAGTAGAAGAGGGAAGGGAGTTCTGATCATCCAAAAAGACTCCTTAAACCTCTTCGTCTATAAATAGTTTCCGCGAATTCTTTCTATAAGGTTTCTTTCAGCTCCAGGTCTATTAAGACCTCTTCTAGCCCCCTAGTAATTTCTATAAGTCCTCCCGTTAGCTCCTGATCTATAAAGGCTCCCCCAAATCCTCATCTAAAAAATCATCATTCAGCTTCTCCCGCAAAGCTATCGACTTTATAAACTTTTTTCACCTCCTCTACAAATACTTTTGCCAGCTCCTTTTACCTAAAATTTTCTTTAAACGATATGCCTATTGAGCCAAACTTACGTTGCCCTCCCATAGGGTCCACCCATAATGCTGCTTCTTATCTATTTACAAGCAATTCATCTCCTCGAATTCAAGGACCTCTTGTCTTCAAAGACTTTAGCTCCCCTTCTATAAGGACTTTCCACACCGAGAAAAAGTCTTAGTTCAGTCCATCGTCAATGGAGACTACTATTTAGCTTCTTGTCTTTAGAGACATCCTCATATCACTGAGCATAATTCAGCACCTCGGCTCTAAGGTCCACGCTTAGTCATCTCTTATTCAGATCCCTTTTTCATCCTCTTCTAGTTCATGGTCTATAAGAGTTTCCTCAAGCTTTGAATAAGGAATTCCTTTAGTTCCTCGCTCAAAAGGACTTCTCGTTAGGTCCTGGTCTTAAAGGACTTGTCAATGCCTCGAACCTAAATTTTGAGCTTTTTAACTCCTATCCTACAAATACTTCAGCCAGTTTCTCGTCCAAATGGGATCCCTTTATCTATGAACACTTCCTTCAGTTTCTCGTTTTACCAATATCCTTCTGATTTTGAATTTAGTCCTCGAATTTTGAATTTATATAAAAAAATTGTTTAACCATTTTCGTCTATAAATTAATTATACATTCCGCACCTCTATTTTATAGACATCTAGTTCATTATCTACATGGACTTTGCTCAGCCTCTCGTCTAGGAATTCTGTTTTATTTCGTCCAAACTCATACAAAACTCAGTTCAGACCCTCTCCCATTCTTCCTTTGTCTTCTTCTCTAAATTTCCTTAGTAAAAATTTCCGTGAAATCTGGAGGTTCTGCTACTTATATCTGAATCCTGTTTTTAACTCCTCATCTATAAATACGCCATTGAATCACTTGTCATTGAAAACTGCTTAATTTTTTATCTAAAAATACATTATCTTCTCCTGACCGAACTACATTAAAAATCTGTCATTTACTCTCCTTTCAGTACCTCATCTGGAAAATCTCCTTTAATTTACCCGTGTAAAATGATCCCATTCTATTCCTCCGCCTTCGACATTTCCTTCAAATGACCATTCAAAAATATTTCCTCCGGCCGGGTACAAATAATCCAACCAGTTAACTTTTTTAAAAACTCTTTCAAATAAATTTTATTAACATTTTTCTTAGCTGCCTTCTAGGAATAAGACCCAATTCCCACAAACGGTCCTGGCTAACAAAATTTCTATTTTACATCCGCTATTTAAAAATCATCTGTTTAAAATTCTTCTTGTCTGTAAAAACCCTATTCTGTCTTGGCTTAGATTCTTCCTGCTTGTCCTTTTTAAAAACCAAAAAGTCCTGTTCCACTACTCCTCCCTTGAAAGCTTAATTCAGTTTGTCTATAGAAAATCCCTTTAGTATCCCCTATGTGAAATCCTTTTCTGTCTCTCCCCTGAAAATAATTCCCTTATACTCCTACTCTTATACAAACTCATTTTGGATATATTTCCATAAAAAAATACCCTTCTACTCCTCGCCTATAACATCCTCTCTCTGACTCTGTGATACCGCCAATTAATAATAAATTTTATATTTTAAAAACTCATATTTCTTTGACTTTTCCCTTAAATTTCCAGTCAGCGAATGGGAAGGTGATACCCTGGAATTGACGCGTATCTCTCGCTTGGATATGGGCGCCTATTTGTGCATAGCCTCAAATGGGGTGCCACCCACGGTTTCGAAGCGCATCAAAGTTAGTGTGGACTGTAAGTACCAAAAAAAAATAAACATAAAAAATATTAGCAAAATTTAATTTAGATTAGAATCCTTCGTACGAAAAATATGATTCTGAAACTGTAGACAAAAAACCACTCCAATGAAATCAGTCAAAACTTTAAAAAACAAAACGTACTGCCGTGTAACTAACAACTTCAAAACAACGAGATTTTTTTTCTCACTTTACACTACAGCATTTTTACATCTTGTTATGACTAATATGCCTAAGCTTCCCCGACCTAACATGTTTGTTGGTTGTTGTTGTTGTTGAATTGAGCAACACAGCATCATCAGCATTTTAGCTTGTAGGCACTTTCCAAACTAAACTCCTCCATTTGCCATATGAAACAGACTCAAAAAAGTCGAAACAAACAAACAAAAAAGACTAGACTACTAAACCGGTAATGGATGCAATTCTCAGCCGAGAACTGTTCAGAACTCTCAATGAAGTATCAGAAAAAAAGTCAGCTAGGAAACAGAAGGGAAATTGCCTTACATGCATATGCAGATGGATGGACAAGTATGTGTGGGTATTGGGGTGGTTTGAAAAGAAATTGATCAGATAAATCTTTGAATGTACTATTTTTGGTATCTTTGGGAATAAAAAATATGAATTTGGAAAACAAATTATGATTAAGTATTTTTTAGAAACAAATTTTGTGAGTAAAATGTGTCATCCGAAAATACGCAGAAACAAAATATATTTATGAGACTTATATTTAATTTCACAAAATCGATCATTTTTTTAAATTTTCACGTAAACTTCTCCAACATTCATAAACCTTTCCCAAGAAAAAATTTAACCTAAAAAGGCCAGTTTCATTTCCACATCAAATATAATTTGTAAGTCTTACCATTTTTTCGTTTTGAATTTGATAAATATCTACCCTAATATACATAACCCTTTTTCACTGAAAAAAAAACAATGTTTCCTTTAGCACCCAAAAATTGCAAACATGCCGAGGAGATATCCTTAAAGCAAACATTGACTATGCAACGTTGACCATTCTCGAAAACAGAAATGTAAACACAAATGCCTAACGTATTTGCTCCATGGGCGTCGAAAATCTTTTTTTGGGCAAGAAAGATTTCAAGCCAAAGGAAATAGAAGAAATCTTGTAGAAAAATCGGAATATACGAAGGATATTGAACTTTTATCGTTTTGTAAAGCAATAAGAACTCTCATTTAAAACGTATTGCTAATTGATATCAGAGCATCAAATCTGGATCATTTTTTTTAATTCTTTCATAGTTTCGACTTCAATTTCTTATGAATTACTATAAGGATTTTTATTCAGGAGATAGTATTCCCCACCATAATATGAAGGATACATTAATTCGTACATATATACTTTTCAACATTTAATTCTAAAGGTATTCGATTTCTGTCTGCCTCTTAAAATCTAGTAGACCACTCATTGTTTTATGGAAATCTTTAAAATTTTTCATACAAATGTCATATGTGTACTATGTATTGAAAATCTATCCATGTCAGAGTACAAATTTGCTCGCTCGAGAGTGAAACGTGCTCGCGAGTAGGTTTGATTTCTATATGGAGTTTACTCTTAAAGTGTGGGAGTGCTTCGAAGTCACTCTTTTTGAATATGGCTCGAAATAGAGTAAGAGTTTGCTTTATGAGTGAAATCGAGTGAAACGAGTTAAAAAGTATCAGTGGGTTTTGCCCTCAGGCAATATTTGATTGACTGACCCCCAATGGAGTAGATTCCGAAGGAATGGGCCAAAATATGATATAAATATTGCGTCATACCTCATCTAATACAAATAAAAATATTGGAATGGGCAATATTACAAGGGAATCGAACATTTATATTCAATTTTATGCTAAATCATAAATTCCATATTCATCGCAGGTTCCTGGTTTAGAGAAATTGCAAGTTGTAAAAAATCGCTGACTTGTTTCGCTACTTATGCTGAAAATTGGGCCCCTCTGTGGGTGAGGTACCAGAAGGGGTTCGCAGACATCATCATACACCATCTTTGCAACAGACCGTGTGTTAGCAAAAATGTTTGCATGTGTGAAATTTGAAGGGAGTTGAATGCTTATTTTGCTTTCTTTGAGCGTTTTATTTCTCAAAATCTTGAACCCTATGTGGGGGAGGTAACAGAAGAAATGATCCGATCCCTACCATTTTTATAACCGATCTTGTGCTGATGGAAATATCTATATTATACCAAGCCTGAATGGAATCGGATCTCAATTTCGCATTTTATGAATTTTATGGATATTCCAAATTTTGACCCTTTATCGAATGGAGTGGACATATACATACAATCTTCACATCAGATCTAGTGTTAGTAGAAACAATGGAATTTGTAAAATATAAAAAGAATCGGATGCTAATTTCGGATTTTATAATTGTTTTGTTTATTCAAAACTTCGACCATTTATGGGAGAGGTACCAGAAGGAATGTTCCGATCTCTACCATCTTTATAACAGATCTTGTGTTTATCGAAATATTGAGATGTGCCAAGTCTGAATGAAATCGGATATTATTTTTGCATTTTATGACCTTATGGGTATTCTAAAATTCGACCCTTTGTGAAGGGAGGTACCAGAAGGAGTGGACCGATATATTTAATTTTCACGCTAGACCATGGGTTAATAATAATATTTTAATAGGTGTCATTTAGAGGCAATCAGGCTCTTACATCACATTTTGAAAGAGTTAAAATTATTCAAATTTTTGACCCTTTGTGGGGAAGTACTTGATGGAGTGGACCTTATTTTCCACTTTCGACTGACCGCAAATATTAATATTAATGCAGAAAATATTTTTTTTTGAAAAATTCGTCCTTTTGTGGGGGAGGTACCCGAAGGAGTGGACCGATATATTTCATTTCAGCGCCAGGCCTTGGCTTAATAAATATATTGGGATGTGTGAAATTTGGAGACAATCAGGCTCTTACATCACATTTTATAAGAGTTAAAATTATTCACAATTTTGATCCTTTGTGGGGAGGTACAGGGTTGCCCATATTCGACGGACCCATCTGGCAACGCCACAACTTTTGACAGAGATGTCACATCGATTAATGACATACCGCGTTTGAAGCGTCAGTCCAAACTGATTTTTACCATGAACCAATACACGCTACGCGAGCGCTCTGAAATTTACATTCAACAGAAGAAGTCAATTGTGAAAACTCAACGTGATTTTAAAACATTAAAAAATGTGAGTTGAGCATGGCTCGGTCCACTTTACAACGGATTATTCGCATTGATTTGCATTTGTTCCATACAAAATTCAATTGACGCAAAGAATGTTGCCTGCGGACAAGCCTCGTCGATTGGAATGGGCCCAAAGAGTCATGGGTCCGTCGAATATGGGCAACCCTGTACTTGATGGAGCGGACCGATATTTTCCATTTTCGCACCTGACCTAGCGCTGATGGAAATATTAGGATTTGCAAAGTTTGAGCAAAATCGAATTATCCTTTTTCTTTCTGTGCAATAAAATATTTTCTTTGAAAATTTCGACCTTTTGTTGAGGGGGTACCAGAAGGCGTGGACCTATATTGCCCATCTTCGAACCCGATCCTAGTTTGATAATAATATTACAATGTTTCAAGTTTGGACTAAATTGGATATTCCCCTCGAGAGTGATCGTGCGCACCAACCAGACGGACGGAAAGACATCGCGGTATAATTAAGAGTTTGTGAACAATAATATTGGAAATAGAATATTACAGTTTTGGAAAAATTTTGCAATGTATCAAAAGAAATGCTATGACTAGGGTATGTATGCGTTATAATAAATAAGAATATATTACTGATACATCCGTGAGAACAGGTGCTAGACTAGGTCAAAAAGTAAAACTGAAGGACCAATGGGAATAATATTGAGGCAATTCAAGATTATTTTGAAATTTTTACCTGGTATTTCCATAGAAATGCTTAGGAGCTTAGGAGTAGGAATATCTTACTTTTTACTTGCATTTATATTTTGATCCGAAGAAGCTGCCGAAAACTTCCTGAAAAGTTTAGAATTTTGAGTAAAAATTTGGATTTTTTGGAACTACGCAAAAAAGGACCTTCGAATATTTTTTATTGCTACAAACAGAAACTAACATCCTCTTCGTTGAGAAGAGTGAATTTTAGACTATTTTACACAATGCCAAATGGGACAAAGAAATCGGAATACAGAACCAGAGCCTAATTAATAAACGTATATATAAAATCTGGTTTAAACCTGAAAGTTCTTTACCCAGAAAATTTTGTTCCCAGAAATTCTGGAATCATGTTAATTACTGATCGACTACTGTGTCGCCAAGGTCAAATTCTACACTGTGCCATTTGCTAGATCTTAGAGTTTTCCTAAATTTCGCAACTCTTAAATATTTCAATTCTGTTCTCAGAAGTTATATGCTATTTTTAACAAACCCAACAACATATTCTCTAACCCACATTTCAAGATGCCTCTGGCCATTCTCTCTGAAAAAAAGCATAAATTAAAAAATGCACACAAGTAAACATTGAGGAATTCAAAGGAAAGAGAAAAGAAACCTCCCCGAATGCATTCATTATTACTACACAAAAGCCAATTCAAACACCTACTCAGCAAATGTATCATCCTTTCTAATTAGCAAAAAAAAAAGGACGTTCTAATTGAAGATTACAAATAGCCGGAAGCTGTTCTCGTTGCATCAAAGAAAATGTCATAGTTTATGGTGGCAATAACTCTCATTTCGTTTTTAGTTTCCTTTTTTCTCATGTTGTAATACTGGAAATTGCAAGAATTCTAAAAGAGAATATATGTGTCTTTGGCTTATTAACTTCTTTGTTTGTTGGCCAAGTTGGAAAGCTCCATGACAGGCAACAATGTGTTTTATGCCACTCTGCCACTGATACTGCCACTGTTGCTGTTGATTTTGATGTTGGTCTTATTTATGATTATTATTTATACATGTTTTTCTTGTTAATATTCCATTTTCATTCCAATTTGTTGTGGCCCACACACACACGCACACACTCGCACTCATTTAGGCAAGGATCCACAATCTGACAATGCCATCTATGTGGAGAAT